TGGAAAGATTCAAGTAAAGCAGTATCAAGTGAATTTATGTGAGGAAATAATCTGGTAAACTATGAGTCTTATACCCTTTATCCAAAAGAAGCAAAATGAATTCCATCATTTTCACTGAGAAAACGCAACTTGTATCTATCTTCCATGAAAATGGCTACTCCAGCAACTTCATTGAGAGGTCTAAAGAAAGTTATAAATCAGGGAACTGATATGTGTAAACTATCTCAAAAATCATTAAGAAGATCTTGAAACCTTTTGGATTCAAAGTCTTTCCTAAAACAAAAAATCTCTTCATCCAATTTTGCGAAAATCTAAAGATATAATAACGAATGAAGATAAATTCATAATCATTTTTAAACTAAGTTGTACCGACTGTGATGTACAGTACGGAGGACAAAATTAACTCCACTTTCATCTTCTCATACACAAATATAGAATAACAGTGAAACAATATAATATGCTGTCACTGATTGCAGTACACTTAGAGAACTTTGAACATTCGTGAAAGGTCAGTCAGCAAGATAGACAGAGATCAATGAAAAAAGACAGTCAACAGGAATATAAGAACAAATGAAACTTATATAGGCAACCAGTCAAAAACAAGGTCACTAGGGCTAACTGATTTACGCCTCGCAGAATATGCGAGACGCTCACTTTCTCATGACGTAGGCACCGACACTGTAGTTCACAATAACTATGACAACTCTGCAATTAAATAATCTAACTCACAGTACCCAACAGCATCAAAATATCATTTAATTATTTGTAAATATACATTGTCTTACAGTAGGTTAGTTTTCATGAAGGACATCATCCATCCTTTACCTCAATGTAGTCAATCATTAATATAAATATTTTGACAATATCTTTCCTGAATAGACAGATTGTTTATTAAAAAATAACAAAAAAAATACAACAGAGATTCATATACACTACTCAGTCTTAAGGGTAAAAAGTTAAAGTATTGTGAAATATTTTGATTACTTCAAGACTAACAGACCGAATAAACAGACTTCAGAACTCAGCACTATAAAAATGAAATCAACAAAAAATGAGGTTTCAAATACAAAATATAAAAGTTTATAAATGAATACTACCCCATAATGTAGTCCACTTAAGTGATAAAGTTTGAATTGCATGATGGAAAGTTATGTTAAACTGACATTTTGTTAATTTATGTTGTATTGGATGTTCGATTCCTTAAACTCATGTATAGGACTACAATTGATCAATCTTCTATTGACATATGTGCATCCTGTACCAATCACCTGAATATTGTCTTAAATTACAAGTATTATAAGCAATGACGGATGGTGGCTACCAATGAAATCCAGGAATCAAGTCCGAGATTTATTATCAACTTTAAGATGCAGGTATATTCAGCTGATGAGTTCCAAATAAGACGAAACACCCGTCCTGGATTTCACTACTAACTACCATTCCTCTCTTATCAGATATTTTGTTAACCAAAAAATTAAGAATCAAAAAACAACAAAGTTTACATACTTTGCCTATTCAAAACACTGTTAAGTTTGTAACAGTTTTAAACATCAGCATCCCAGATATATAATATAAACAATTACAAAATGACTTTAAAAATAACTTCTTCATGGTAACTCTTAATTCTGTTCAACCAGGAGTAATCTGTATTTCGTTAACAATCTATATAATTCATTGAAAACAATATGAGAAATGTGAATTAATTTTTAGAAAGAAATTAAAATATAGTACCATGATAACTAATTTTGCCTGACTCTCCTCTGGAGCTACTACCGATTTCAAGCCTAGATAAAAGAGTGGGGATTGGGTATGGGGTTAGCGACCCCATCCCATAGAAAACTAGCTCGCTAAAAAAAACGCCAACCAGAAAAAAAATTATTCAATCCATTGAACCATGATAACTATCAGTAATTGTGTCACAGTTTTAAGTGAAAAGTATATCGAAAATCTTTGAAAATTCCCATTTTGTGAATTAAAACAATACATATAACTGTACAGTATTGTTTTCATCTGGTTTTATTTCAATATACCATAATATTTATATGCATATATGAAACCTTTTTGATTGAGATCATGAACCGACTGATGTTAGACCACCTCAGAAATGGGCATCCACGATCCCGCCCGCGGGATTCGAACCCAGGGCCCTGAGTTTCGCGCGCGAACGCTTTTGAAATTATTAAACCAATCAGGGTAGTTATTTAGTCAATGATAACAATGGAATAGATTGCATAATAAGTAAAAAGTTTAAATTTATTGTGTACTAATATACTGATGTACTAGTTATGATATGAATAATAAAGGCTCGAATCAATGTTTCCTAATAAGAAGTGGGTCAATGAATCAGACCAAATAGATACTGAAATAGTTTTCATTAAAGATTACGCAATAAGAAGTATTCAGATAATTGGACAGTGAAGTATATATTTCATAAAAATTGGGTAAACACAAATAAACAAACCAAGAGTGTAGAAAATAATAATAAAGAAATTTTTTATTAAGGCTGATAAGATCAAGGAAGAAATAAGAGGATACAAACAGTCGAATTGTTAGCTTGAATCCCTATAACTTCTGCTATGTGTAATAAATGAGATTGAGCCACACAAGGAGAACTAGTAGGAATGCGATAAACTACTTTAAAAGACCTATTCCTATCTACTACATGAGTGCTGTTGATCAAGTTTGACGGAATAGAACTGCTTATTTTTAGACTATACTCTTTCCTAAACATGAAGTAAGGTGTTGACTAACTAGTTGACTCAGTTGTTTGATTGTGTGTCCAATATAACTTTCTCCAAAGAACTAGCTGAATTATTAGATACATGTGGATGTGACAAAAACAGGTTATCAGCCTAATACAAATGAATAATAGAATTATATCTTATTCAACTAAATATTTCTCTTAACCTTTCAGTTATTGTTTTGACTGTCCCTCCACTGGTTTTATCGACGTCCGTTATTTCGTTATTATGCTTACGGTTATATATACCAGAATAACCCAATAGTTCCTTTTCAGAGATGAGTAAATTGTGTTAGTAATAGAATTGAGTGAATGAGAAAAAAATTACTTAAATAAGGCAAAATTGCAAACAAGATTCACTATTATTTTATGTAAGCGTAAATACTCATAACTTTTATGTTATCGAATTAATAGTTGATTCATCCATGAAGCAAAGGAATTAATATTCAAAAGTATCATTATTGAAATGATTAATCAACAGCAGTATGTTTGAAGATCTTGTCTGTGACTATTTAATTTATTGAAATGAAAGTCAAATATTGATATTAGCAGAACCTGTTACAGTGTGTTAGACATTAAATTCTGTAGATGTTCTTTTTTTCGTTTTTTTTTTCTACAGGTTGTCTCCAAATGCCCTGGTACGGCCGAGAGTGAGGAGATTCCTGTCTATCTATCGAAATGCTCTCACACGGTCACGCGTATGTAGCCTCTGGCAGGGAAGTCCTACTCATTGCCTTCTTGCAGCATTACTGCTGTTTACGAAATTGAATGTCTGGTGCTGTAACCGGGTTGGTGGACATGGACAGTCTACGTAAGACAGTTGGACAATCCTGATTTCAAACCAATGGAATATATGGGCATCAGTACCCTGTGGGAACAAATGGCGTATGAACAAATCATTGGTCACCGGCTACCATGGGACTGCATCTCCTTATATTGCTCCACTGCCTTGTGGATTAGGCCTTCAGATCGAAGTTTCCGGGTGTGGCCCCCTAAGAAAACCAGCTTATTCGCTTTGGGCACCCAGGCAGTATCCCGGCGCTCACACAAATCTCATTTGATTTGTGTGGCACATATGTAACTGGTGCCCCCTTTGTTCCAGTATTTATGTGTTTAAATAAATAAATAAATTTTCTACAGATTACAGATACTTCTATATCTTTATTTATTATTATGAAATATTATGAATAATAATCATGTTAGATATGGGGGAATATATGGTCAAGGTAGAATTTTGAGGTCTGTCCAGTTATGAATCAATCTAGAAATGATTTATGGTATTTTTCTATATTAACATGTTTGTAAACCTTCATTTTATTCATCAATGAATGTACGAATGTATTTTATACTTCTTAAGTATTACAGTTAATTAACCATGTATTTGTTACTTGATTTTATATCACAAATGACTCAGTTATGTAATGCATTGTAACCCTGCAACCATTGATGTTATTATTTAGATTTCTTAATCATAGAATACACAATATTAAATGTAAATCTTTTGAATTTTCTCATATTTTGACAGACTAGGCTAGAAGGAAGACATAAGAAATCTATATAAGCCAATAATTGGCGTCCAAATACTTAATGAAGATAAAGTGTGTAATTTGACGTAAGGTTAGCTCATTATTGGTAAATTGAATTAATCAGTGATCTTTTTGGTAGAGTTTTGTTCTCTGAGCTGGATGGTTTGGTCGTGGAGCTTTCATCGTTCTTCTGAACGACATCATCAGCACAAACTTCAAACCAAACCATCCAGCTCAGAGAACAAAACTCCACCAAAATCATCCACCTGAGCTACAAATCTTCTCCACCATCTCAAAATCAGTGATCTTATTTAGAGTAAGCAAATACTTTTAAGTTACTGATAAAAAGATAATCTATATCATATAACATTAACAGAAGCATTAAAAAATCAGAAGCATTAAGCAGGGGATTCGTTTTAGTTTGAAAAATCCTTGAAGTTTATACCGTTGACTCCTCATATAATCAAATTCAGAGACTTCATTTCTAAATTAAACTGCCCAATAGGAATCAAATAGCTGAAACTTTAAACATTAATTAATGTGCTATCTTGAGTGGAATTGTCAGTAAGCATTTCTAGCTAGTTATAAACCAGAATAAAATCATTGTTTCAACGCTTTACAGACTTTTTTGAGTGTTAAAATAAGTCTGTACATTATGTAATCCATTATGTAATACGCTATAGAAAATAAAACCAATTTATAATTGTAAAAGGGAGGAAGTAACAAGTACTCACCAGTTCACGATCATCTAACACATCAACAACACGATCATCCCAATCTAGTATACCACCATCACGAGCTAACGCTAACGAATCTACTTCATAATCACTATCAATATTCAGTTTCCATGATACATTTTTTTGACTATCTGTTTTCAGATGAGAATCCTTGTCTGACTGATCTAATTCTCTCGGTATTATTTGAGTGTGTTGTTGTTGTTGTTGTTGATCTAGATTGTAGTTTTCTTGCTTTCGTTTTTCTGGCGACTTTGTTTGACTCCCTGTACATAATGTGACATTTTGATCTATGCAACATTTTGTCTATAAAAAAAATATAATAGTAGGTAAAAGATTCAGATCAGTATTTGAGTTTTATGCATGTTGTTAAAGTTTCATAGTTTAAACCACTAACTGATCTTAGTTAGGCTATCATTTTAAACTAAGAAACACTGTAAAACTGTTTCATCCCGTGAAGAGACTCCTCAGTCATAAACATTGATAAACCCACCGCTTAAGAGATCAAACCCAGAAACTTCAGCCTCATGAACAAACATTCAACTTTTGAACCACAAAGACCTAAAGGAACAAATATTCTGGTCATTTGGCTCATTACAATAAGCAATTAGTTATGTTCAGATCTATGATAAACTTAGTCAAAATGGTTAATTCCTTTCAACACTAAATGTTTCCAATATGTGCCGTTATATATTGTGTTTAATTTGATCTTATTAATTATAAATTATAGATTAAGCAATTGCTTATACACACATCTACATCGATGTATGATCTATCTATTTCCCTATAGAAAGTAATCTTTATTGAAATATTACTTAAATTTATTCTCTATACAATTTCATTTTGTTAATCCTTACACCATTTAAACAATGCCTGGTTAATTTACTATCTATTTCTTGTTCTTTTTTCCAGAGATTATACAAGAGGATGATGGTGTTATGTACTACTTATTTAAAACATAAGTATTATGTTATTAGATGTATCTAGCTAAAATAAAGATTATATATATAGTAATTATTGTTTTAGACAAACGTCATTTAAATCTAATTATACTTTTCTACTAGTGCTCTAGAATCTAGACTTGTGACATTTAACAAATGGGTTTATATTATTTTAAGATACATGTATTGGAGTGCTCTACACTCAGATAATAACATCAATAGATGTAACTGTTTAATTATCAATCCTTACATTTAACATTAAATGACGTAATTAATAACAAATAATCTGACAAAATCAAATGCGTTTTGTGGAGATTGTGGTAATTTCAATGGTTAAGATCATGAGTTAGTTGGAGCTAGAGCACCATGGAAAACCTGGGAGAACCGAACGGCCGTTTCATCGTATTGTGGGACTCCTCGGCAGTGCACACCAACGACCTTACCCCCTGCAAGGTTCGAACCCAGGACCTACTGGCTTCGCGCGCGAGCACTTAACCACTAGACAACTGAACCGACCGGTATCCAAGGGTGTTAATGTCTAACTTCAAATAATCCACGAAATTGATTGACACATCCACCATAGTCTTCAGTGAGTTACTATCTCACAAACAGACCTGGTTGAACTCCACTGGTCACTACTTCTCACTACTACTCACTTAGGAGTCCGACAATAGGACGAAACGCCATCCAGTGCTTCCAGGTTTTCCATGATGGTCTAGCTTCAACTGACACATAATCTTGACCATTGAAATAATCAATTGTTTCAATTTTCAAGTATGTTTTTCTATGTTTTCTATTCAAATCTTTAAATTTGATCACATTTTACATGATCATCATTGATAATCTGTATAACCATTTAATTGTGTACGTGTGTGTGTGTGTATGTTTTAATCACTCTAATGATCCTTAATGAAATCATTCATTTTCCAGCACGAATAAATTACAAAAATTTCAAATCTAAACTACATTACACTAACTGTTTTGTATTTTAATAACCAATACCTATTTTAAATTCACTTGATATCGTTTACCCTGTGCTGAGAATTCTACATTGTACTAAAATATAATACTGAATAAAGCACAATATTCAAATACGTCAATGAGAGACTGATCAATTTCAGTCCTAAAAACATCAATGGGAAGATTCAAGTAAAACAATATAAAGTGAATTAAACTTCACCCCATCACACAAGCAAGTGGCTATCAGGACTCAGTAGCTAAGTGGATAACGCAATGGCGTTTGAAGCGAACGGTAATGGGTTTAAAGTGCCAGAGTGAACATCAACTCTGTGATGTGGCAGGAACATCCAAGTGATGAGTCCCAAACAGGATTCCACTGCTAGCCACTATCCATCTTTGCTAAAAACAATATTGTTCGCTCATATATGTTGTTGTAAATTCTATATTGTACCAAAAATATAAATCTAAATAAAGCTAATAATAATTATAATAACAACATAGGAAATTATGTATTTTCCATTTGAGTACTTTATTTTGAAACCTTTCAAATGATTAACATCTATTAGACTTTAATTATTATTAATATCATATCACACATTAATATGATTTTTCATTATAATTAAGTATTGAACGACATAATTTTAAATCAATTTTCATTTTTCAATTTAGACTGATATGACAGGTAAATGTGAAAATCAGATTTCACATTGATGGATTATTAAATGATCTATGAAACTTGTATTAATTAATTATTGATTATAATTAATATATAAATAACATTAAAAGGTAAAGGATGCATTTCGTTCTATTTGGGACGTGTTAACATTCCAATAATGAAACTGAAATTCGAACATAATAGTTTTCATTACTTCATTTTAACTGTTTATCACATAACACACAAATGAGAATTTATGACATAACATTACATTATAATAATTCTTTTAGGATGTAACTATGGAAACAGTAACTGATTGAAATACAGTCCTTAATATTAATAACAAAAAAATAATCGAAAATCCTTACTAATATTAGTACTCTTTTACAAATTGAATAAACTTCAGTTATGTTTATTTTGTACTATATATATATATATATATATATATATATATATATATATATATATATATATATATATATATATATATATATATATATATATATTCTGATTGATATATCCCAACGAGAATAATGAACGGTAATTTTTGGGATCCATTTATGGACGTATATTTCTATTGTAGAATTATTAAGTAACTAAATTATTCATATTCGTGTCCGTCTTATTGTGAGCTTTATTTTGACCGATGAACTATTATTATACGATTTACCATTCTTGAGTTATGCCCAGTCTAATCAACTACAGTCTTACACATTCACAATCACTTCTGGCTAGATATTATACAAATGTTTTTTTTCTATTTTATGGTACGATGTGATCTGTCCGGTTGGTATATAAACCTAGTATGTTTGAAATACATGATTCATTATACGGAGGCTGAGATTGGTATTCTGGACTTAACAGGCAGGTATAGGTAGGAAGCAGGACCGATAAAGACTCTAGACTGCTTGTATTTGTTTTATGCATCATTGGTCTGGTCGATAATTCACTGTTCTCTAATTGGCGTTATCATTACATTATACATTAATAAGAACACAAGGCATAAGTTATAACACCGATATATACTCATAACTGCAACTGCAATAATCTTATAAAATCAAGTGATGGATCATATCTCTCACAATCATTCACTATTTTCTTAGTTATAACACAGATTAGACATTTTAACATTCAATTTCAAATATGCAGTTTTAGAACGAACATTAAACATGAAACGTTAGGTAAAAATATATCACATTGTTGTTAGTATTGAACAATCATCATGTTTTTAAAACAAAAAAGCATCGTAGTCATACAGTTAATTTCATTAGCATGTTTATATATGTATGTGAGAATAATGGTTAAATCATGTGAAATCAAAAAAAAAAAATAAGTATGATGAACCATTTATTGGTATTTTGTATTAACTCTGGCAGAAAATTTAATCATTGTGAGTTGATCAATAATAGTATTTTTCACTGGTTGAATTTGTGGATGTGCACTGCTGAGGAGTACCATACTAGGATGAAATGGCCATCCACTGCTTCCAGGTTTTCCATGGTGGTCTAGCTTCAATTGACTCATGATTTCAACCAGTGAAATTTCTTAAATCTCCACAAAACCCCTTCTGATAGTAGTATTTTTATTACTTAGGAAAAATTATCATCCATAACTGATTGATCACTGAATAGTTTGACTAATATCATACTTGTCTAGTTACTTACGGTTGATTAAGATTTTATCGACTGAGTTGTTATTCGAAAACTAGCACAAAAGGTTCAATGTTCTGTGCACTATGATATGATGTTAGGTAGTTGACAGAAAATTTTGAAACCAGGTTCCTTGTTAGTTAGAACTATTCAACAAAATATACCTGTGATCCCTCTGAGATATCAACTTGAAACATTTGACTTCAAAATCTGAGACATTACTACTGAGTTATTTGAGAAGCGGCCTAAATCTGTGTGGCGCAATTTCAAATCTCATAAAGACCCTAAAATATTTCTTCCTACAACTTGCCAACGACCACAACGCCTAGATCAAAGTTTTATTGTCTACTACTTTCAAACTCTTAGCATCTCAAAATGGCTCACCCGATAACAAGTCACTTAGACTAATAGTCAATAGAATTCGATCCGAATTAAAACGATCTACATAAACATGATTTTTCACCATTCAGTAGTCAATCAATTGGTAATTATAAATATAATCTCCCAGTTAGTTACTCTGAAAGAGGTATCATTAAACATCCCAATTAAAATAATTATTCACTTAACAATTTGGGTGGTGATTGACCTGACAAAAAAACATTTACAACAAATAAATGTAGATCAAATAGAAATTCGGTCACATATAAATCACTACTTATTAGCATGATATAAAATAAATGTGTGTGAAATCAGTTGATTAATTGGTTTTGTCAATTACATACATACAATGAAATTGTTTATTGATTGATGAAAACAACTCAAAACTCTAACCATTTCAATTTCATTAATTATTGACCAGATATTCAAACTATATATATAGTACATATGGATGACATTTTGATCAATGTTGTAATCAGTGTCTGGTGGACACGTGAATAAATCTTCAACAAACAGTCTTGGATTCTTATTTTTTGTGTCGTTAGAAGTAACAGATATCAATCTATTCTCCATTTATATGACAAGTAATTTCAACAGTTGAGATTATGAGTCACTCGAAGCTAGACTACTGTGGAAAACCTGGAAGCACTGGACAGCCGTTTCGTTCTATTGTGGGACTCCCCAGCAGCGCGCATCCACGACTCGTGGGATGCGAACCCAGGA